AAGAGGCTGCGTGCTTGAACGTGTAAAGTGAATGTAGAGAAAAAAAAGAGGAGGCGGCACGTAAAATAGCCAACGTGCCCTCGCGCATGAAATGTCAACTAGTTAACTTTTTCAGTGCACTGAGGGAGTCAGCATATATGACTGCTTTATTGCGGTGTTTAGATAAAATTTCTTCAAGTGCAGTAAAACTAGTATATACCTCCGCTGTAAGAACAGGCACAAATTGCGGCAGTCGGATACAGGATACTGATTCTTTTGATATAAAAACACTTCCTGTATGTTCTTGAGTTTCTTAACCATCAACGCAGTATTCCAAATGTTTGGGATATTTTTTTCACCCCTACTAAACCCCGCAGAACGTGCCTTCACGAATTTTTTTTGCCCCTAATTTAGCCAGAGAGAAATCTGTGAAATGTGAGAAGTATAACACTGAGTCTAGTCTTCCTGGCGTTTGAGCAACGTCGAGCGCCTGACTTTGTACCACACATTGTACACATATTTCTTCAAAGCACGGAGAAGTGGTCTTACCGTGTGCTGAGCTGTATTCTGCTACTGGTGTGAGAAACATTGGCGTGGCATATGTGGTTAGTTTTCGATTGCGTTCGTTTTACACATGATACTGTAAAGCGCTCTTTGGTGCTCCAGGTGATGCTAATTGCTCTCTGCATACGAACTTTTGACGGGTGCAGTTCAGTACGTCTCAGTTGCCAAGCGAAATCCGTGATTATGTATTAGATCACGACGTTTAAAAAGAATTTCCTTGCTGACGCGTGAATCACGCTGCCGTTGTGAAGTAAGCTGCGCCTAACTCAGCGGTATGTACGTGAAAGGCTTAGCCAATTAGCCTTTCACGTACATACCGTTGAGTTGGGATCAGCACCCCCATTTTCCATGATAGCATACAGAGGGCGTTTATCTTTATTTTTGGCATAAGGGTATAATTTAAAAATGAATTTATACAAAATTTGTTTGAGATTTTTATTTAAAACTTTGCGTATACGCATTAAAATCGCTCGCTCTTTCTGTCCCTTTTATGCCCAAATTTTCGTATATTAACCAATTCGGTACCTGCGTGACCATATGCTCAAGCATTTCCTGACGTATCATTTTAAATATGCAGCTTTAGTAAAACATTCCAAAATACCTGTAATATACATAGCGATAGCTTTTGGTACCCTTTACAGATAACATTTTGCCAAACTTTTCTTTGTTTATTGGGAAGGTACTAAAACAGGCACGATATAGTGGTTCCACAATTCACCACGTTGGCATGCAATGGACCTTTAGGTAAACATTTTTTTTTGTAATATTGACTTTTCATTAGTGTGGCGCACATAATCTTCTAAATTATCTGCCCTTTGAGATATCCGATGAAATTTTGATACAGCATCAGCAATGTCCTCCGTGCAAACAAGCGTGTTATTTTACGCGTTAGCATGAGGTCACGCTAGTCTTTCAGGTTCCATAGTTTGTTGAAGTCAGTTACATCAATTCACGCTCGTTGCAGATGATTCCGTGGCCCTAATTCGCCCATTTAGTGTTGGCCTAGGTTTGTTATAAATGATATAGCTAGAATACCCTAAGAGAATGATAAGTATGTATTGGCTATTTTGATTTACTGGCTACCGAATGCTATTACATAGACGAATACGTCGCAGGTGATAATTCTGGCAGTCTCATGAGAAATTTAAGTATAATAATGAATAACTGTTCGGTTTTAACACCGCATTACCACGATATGACTATGAGGGACGTCTTAGTAGAGGGCTCCGGAAATTTTGCCCCCTGGTGTTCTGTGCATGTATATTGTGGACAGCCTTCTAGGCAACTTATAGCAGGTGCTACACATGTGCTTGTTGGGAGCCGTCAAAATGGTGGATGCTACAGTGACGAATATGAAGCAGGGTATGAAGAATGAGGCTAGGGTTCGCCAATACGAATATCTGCTCATGTGTAGAGGAATATTTATCCAATAAATTGGAACGCATGCAAAACCTAGCATTGCAGCTCAATTATTCATAGTGCTCGCGTCAAACGTCAAGTAAGAACTTGCGGGTGAGGCGTGATATCCGACTACTTGTACAACGCAGACTGATTTCTTCGCTAAAATTTTTATACCTCGTTTATCACGGCTTTTATCGAATACCCCTAGCGACAAGCGTTCATACGCCATTCAGGCATTCAACTCAGACGACTCATAATAAAACTATACGTCACCAACCCTGTCATAATAACACTAATATATACTGTTCATTTCCACACACCCATTCCTCTTGAAATGCACTGCCAGCTGATGTTGTAAACGGCTCAACTGTCGATCAATTCAACAGCAGCATTGATAATTCAGATTTCAAATGGCAAAATAACTTGGTTTCATTAGTATTTCATATGTTTCCCCCTCAACCTGTACAATTATTGTAACGTTGTTTGCTGTTTACATGAACACCTTGTTTACTTCATAATGTTTTATACCTCGTCATTTGTATGCGTTCATATTGATTGCTCTATATAGATCATAATGCTCTGTATAGATTGTTTTTTCAACACACTTCTGCATGGGTCCAAGAAGACCTTACAGTATTGTGAAATAAACAATAAATAATAAATAAAATGAAAGCATTGACGCGATGTTACCTTCAAGTGCCCAGAAGAAGAAAAAAGTTCCGCGCTGTAATACAGTTACCTACTATAGGTGCATCTTCACGGGAGTACTGACCAGGCGGATGCTAATGCAGGCATCTACTGGATAGCAACACTAAAAAAAAAAACCTACTGTATTGCGAATAATTGAAGAAATTGGTTGTGAGCGAGATTTACTTTCCAATGTAGCCATAAGCAACGTGTGGTGCTTATTCGCAGGACACGGTTTGCTGTCACTGAACTTGAATTCCAGATACAAATTCCTCAAAAGTACGAGATAAGGTGAGATAATTAGCAAAGAGGAGCTGGCCGTCAACAATTGTCGATGCTTGTTGAAACTGCGTCTTGTGGCACACATTTTGAAGAAAAAAAATTCGGCAGATCCCACGTACCTGAAAATCGACGTTATGGGAAGCATGCGGAGGGAATATGACCGTGTTGCAATCTTTTTATTGAGCTACACGTCAATAAATGACGCTAAATATCTGTACAAATTTTGCACGCACAGCGATGTTGAAGAGTTGCAGATGTTTATACAATCAGTTGTTTGGACTTGCGCAACGATGTCAACTGGAACATGCATATTAGCAGCCTAATACGATATTAGGCGCAGACGCTAGCGAAGATGCTGGTCCTGGGCACTGCTATATAAATCAAATTCAACGCATGGCAACTAACCACAATGGACGTTAATCCAACGTGACGGTTGTATCAAAGGAGTACATATGTAATGTGTATAAAATTGGGTAGACAGGGCTGCAACCACTATTGACGTTTCATGAAGATTAGCGTCTATTTGAAAAAGTACTTTTGAGACTTGGCCTAGCTTTGTGGTAAAATGGTTATTGGCCTAACCACAATGGACGCAATTGTGGTTAGTTGCCATAACAACAATGGTTAAGGCAACTAAACACAATGGACGTTAATCCGACGGGACGGTTGTATCGAAGGAGTACAAATGTAATGTGTATAAAATTAGGTAGACAGGGCTGCAACCACTATTGACGTTTCAAGAAGATTAGCGTCTATTTGAAAAGTACTTCTGAGACTTGGCCTAGCTCTGAGGTTATTGCCATGGAGAATGCTTGGGTTCGATTCCATCTGGGACCCTGGGATTTATTCGTTGCATTCATCGGGTGATGGCTACCGATATCGGGTATTTCTTAACGCTCCCGCGTTGAAATTGTCCATGTGTGTTCTCGTCATTTCTGGGTAGATACTAAGCGTCAATCACCTGTGGCACATACCAGCATACGAGCGGCACATACCCACCAGTGGGTATGTGCCACTGTCTGGCGGAGAGTGTTTGACGACGTACGCGACTGGATTAGGATATTCTTAAATGCGCAGCATTTCCTAGTGAACTTCGGCAAATTTGAGCGTATCTCTCTATCTATCTAGCCGCTTACGTTTTGCCGCTTACGTGCGCCATATTAATCAAAGCATCTTACCTTCCTATGCTAATATTGGTTCACGTCAAGTGAAGGGGGTGACCTCGAGAGCACACAAACGTAAGTGGCTAAATAGACAGACAGACAGACAGACAGACAGACAGACAGACAGACAGACAGACAGACAGACAGACAGACAGACAGACAGACAGACAGACAGACAGACAGACAGACAGACAGATAGACAGATAGACAGACAGACAGACAGACAGATAGATAGATAGATAGATAGATAGATAGATAGATAGACAGATAGACAGACAGACAGACAGATAGATAGATAGATAGATAGATAGATAGATAGACAGACAGATAGACAGACAGATAGACAGACAGATAGACAGACAGATAGACAGACAGATAGACAGACAGATAGACAGATAGATAGACAGATAGATAGATAGATAGATAGATAGATAGATAGATAGATAGATAGATAGATAGATAGATAGATACGCTCAAGGTCACCGAAGTTCACTAAGAAATGCTTCGCATTTAAAACAGTCCACTTCATTGGAACTGTGCCTGACGACAAAAGCGCAGGTGCGATGGAGAAAAATGCAACCGAACGGTGACTACAGAGTGCAGTAAATGTGACGCTGGCCTATGCATCCAAAGCTTCATGTCATTCTCCATTGGACGCCCAACGAATCGCTAAATTTATTGTTCACAATACGTCAAGGCCCGAAATGTATTTTAAGGGTTTTCCATTTTTGCTGCAGCCTAAAAGCACAGCATGACCATGCGGACACGGGTCATATCTTGTAAACAAAATGCTCATTCACGTATCAATTTCCGTGTTCATCTAGGCAGACAGCAATACAATTAAAGACTGCATCTCTTTTCACGGTACTCCTAAACAAAGACACTGGCACCTAAAGAGTAATAACATTTCTTTTGAGAACTTACCTTCTGCATAACTCTGGTTAAGCAAAATCGGATTTCCAGACCACCCCGTAACGTTTCCAGAAGACTTGTTGATCTGCAGCTCGAGAAAGCCCAGGTATTTTCCGAAGCGATAATCTTGTACAATTAGGCAGGGCCCATGACCAGTGCGGTTGTATATATAGGGGTACGGTCCTTCTGGTTTGTCGCCCACAGGAGACTCCCCTGAAATAAAGAACGAGGGCTTCATGAATTTCAAGAATATGCGGGATCTTGCCCACACCTAAACCCAGTGAACCACGGCCCTTCACCGCTCACTCGGCAACGTATTTTCTGGGCCGAAGCATCTTAGGCTCTTGGCTTGTCCGTTGTTGTGCTTTTTCCGTGCTCACGGTGACGATGACGCTGATGTCGATGAAGAATAAGCACGTTTCAGATCCCACAATCTTTTTCTGTCATGAATGAAAACAAACTCATACGTGCTTTCACCCGTGCAAAGCAATGCCAACGTGAACGACAAGATACCCCGGAGCCGAGAGCTCGCGAACAAGCGGCAATGCCGGCAACAAGGTGCTACGCTGTAGTTGAGACCACGAAAATCAACAGCCTAATGCTAAAAAAATTTGGCAGATTCCACGTACTTGGGAATCGAAGTTATGCGAAGCACGCGGATGGGAGGGGACCGTGTTTCATTTTTTTTATTGAGCGACACGTCATGAAATGACGCTTATTATACATACCAATTTTGCGCTCACAGAAATATGTAGAAGAGTTGCAAATGTTTATACAACCAGTTGTTTGCACTGACGCAACGATGCCAACTGGAACATGCCTATTAGCAATACCAGAAGGCGATTTGAAGCGCTGATGCTCACGAGGATGCTGGCCCTGGACAATGCTACATAAATCAACTTCGGCGCATAGCAACTAACCATAATTGACGTTACCCAGATGTGACTGATGAATCAAGTGAGTTTAATGAAATTTTCACAAAATTGTGTAGGCAGCACTGCAACCGCTTCTGACGTTTCACGAAGAGTGGCGTCTATTTGAAAAGTAGTTGTGAGACCTGGCATAGCTTTGTGGTAAAATGCTTCATTGACACGCAGAATGCTTGGGTTTGATTCCACCTGCGATCCTGAATTATATTCTTTGCGTTTGTCGGGTTGTCGCTACCGATGTCAGGTATTTCTTGACGCTCGCGCGTTCAATTCCTCAAGTGTGTTCTCGTCGTTCCTGGGTAGATAGTAAGTGTCAGTCACTTGTGAAACATACCCGCATACCAGTATCCCAGACACACCCCTGGGTATGTGCCACTGTCTGGTGGGAAGCTTTTGACGAAGTGCGCAACGGGATTGTGACATTATTCATGTCTTAACAATTGCGTCATATTCGTCCAACCATCTAACCCTCCCATGCTAATTTTGGTTCACGCCACGTTAAGGGGGTGACCGCCAGAGCACCTAAACGTAAGCGGATAGATAGATAGATAGATAGATAGATAGATAGATAGATAGATAGATAGATAGATAGATAGATAGATAGATAGATAGATAGATAGATAGACAGATAGATACGCTCAATGTCGCTGAAGTTTGCTAAGAAATGCTTCGCATTCAAAAAACATTTTATATACTGTACACGCGTTGTCACTGATTCACAAGCTCGAGTGGACAATTCCACCGGTGAATTGCGGTAAAAACGGCATCCAGTACATCGTCTACTCATCATGATTCACTTCCTGAAGATGCATTGATTTTTTTTGCGGTTCTCTCTATAGTTCTCTATACAGGTGGGTGGCCTTCGTTGTTTCTATTTATGTTACGTTTTCTTTCTTCTTCTTTTTATCTCTGTCTCTTTTTTTGTCTTTTCTCTAGTATTATTGAAATCTTGTTCGTCACATTTCTCTCTTTCTCTTTTTTCTCTCTGTCTGCTACTTTTGTCTCCCTAGTTATTTATTGCTTGTTTCGTATTTCTATCGCTTTCCTCTCAATTTCATTGTTTACTTTTTCGCACTCTCTTTCAATCTTTGCTATTCTTTGAACATAAATGTCGCTTTATTTTTTTGTTTCTCAATATTTACGTACTGCGATTTACTCTCTTCCTCCAGCATTACCTCTTCTTCAGCCTCGAACTCTCTCATTGTAACGTGTTTGGTTAAAAAAACCACTTGGACTAGCTGTAAAATACCAATATTGATAGAGAAAAGGAGGTAAGGCGGTACGCGTCACCGAATAAAAGTAACTAAATACGCTAATCATTACTAAAACAATCAACGCGTTGCCCTTACAGACACCAAAAAAAAGTTACGGACGTTACCGCTTCCGTTACTCCACAATGATGAGTTTTTATCGATGTGTCTTTGCTTAAGGAATCCACTGTGAGAACTTTTCAAATCTCAAATTGATGTTTCACTCAAAACTACTCACTCTAACAAAGATCATACCCAAAATGCTCCTCTAACGAGAAATATTTGTACATTTGCACTGGATTTTGGCTGTGTTATAGAGCTTAAAGATGCCTGTATATTTAGATGTGATGGCTAGAGGCCAGAGTTTTAGGCACAAACTTGTTCTGCTTTAGGAACCCGAAAAACGCAAGCAAAATACAGTTTAAGGCCCCCAAAATAGAAAATGTAGTTGCAATAAACGTTTACGAAAATTTTTGGAGAAGAACGTGTTTGACCTGTGTCTTTGAAAGGAAAGCCAGAAAAAAATGTTTTGGTTCATGATGATTCATATGTGGCGTTTAGCGTTCCCAAAACCACGATATTATTATGAGAGACGCCGTATTGAAGGGTTCCAGAAATTTTGACCACCTGGGGTTCTTTAACGTGCCCTCAAATATGAGCACACGGGCCACAGAATTTCCGCCTCTATCGTAAATGCAGCCGCCGCAGCCGTGGCGCGATCCCGCGACCTGCGGGTCATCACCTTAGCCACTAGACCACCCCAGCGGAGCTCATTGATGATGACACAAAGGCACCAATGGTTTAGTGTAACCCTGCGCTTGTCTCTTTTTTCCCCACAAGGTTTGCAGAACACGGTTTTTTTTCACTGCCCAGCATGATATGTTGATTTAAATTGTCGCCCATTGACTAAAGAAGCGCTTGCGTCTCTTTTTGACATACGTGAGAAGGCTCTTTTAACATTGTCTTAACCTGGTCTAATCACGCAGGGTTAATTTTTATCTATCTGGGAATTCCTCAAAGGGCCCCTCCCGAGCTCTATGCACTTGAAGCTGGCAAGGGTAATGCATGCACTGGGTGCTGGCAATCCTGTATACTAAAATTGACAATGCTACGCGCCGTGGAAAGAGCTGAAGCGTCAAACTGAACGCCGCTTGCCCTTCATCTCACGCGCGCGTACCCCAACATGAAGGTGGTGACGTACTACAAGAACTGGCCCTGCATATGTTATATTATACGTGACAATCCGAGAAAAAAGTATTACTGAACTCAAGAAACTTAGAGTAATGGGCCTTTTCTTGATCCCAACGGCACCTTGTTGTGACTGGCACTCGAGCTGACGTGGGAGCGGCGCTCTTTGGATCTTCAAGCAAGTAGCCGACCGGCCGGCTGCTTATAAGCACCAGGCATTGTCCCTCGTAGCCGGTGGGTGAGACGTCGTGTCGCTACGAGGCCGTAAGCCGTTCGAGAGAGGACAACAGTTACAGCATCTTCCTTGGAAGCGACCGCCGCGGCCGCCGCAAATCGGCCCGCTAATTTGGTGAGCGGTTCGGCGGACGCTTTGATGTATGCTGTCAGGGGTTTGGAACCCCTCGACCAGCTGCCCACGCACAACGAGGAAGAGCCCCACTGGCGCAACCTTGGATTGCACTGATCACGGCTCAATATTGGACGTTCACGTGGGCCGTGCATGCTCTTCACCCTCGGTGGCTGTGTGTGATCTGTGATTGGTCAGTACCCTCTGCACGTGTTCCCTGATCTAGGGATCTGGAGAAAAGATACCCTTTATGATGAGCCACCCGGCTCATTCAAAAGAACGCCATGTAGAGGAACAGCACACTCGAAAGTTCGCCATGTAAGAAAGAGCTCATCATGTACGAGAGCTCACAATGTACATAATGTAAATAAACCCTCTTCAATTCTCTCTTCCTCATGCCTCGACAACTTCATCCCGGACCTCCAGTGTCTGCAAACCATGGTCGCAACAACTGGTTGGCAGCGTTGGGATATGACTCGATCAGCGATGGAGAACTACATTGAACGGAGGTCTGCCCAAAGCCCTGGAATTCCGCGGGATTGGAGCAGCGTACCACAACCGCACGTAATGGGGTGAGTGCCTGGCTTTGTGCTTCAGATCCATCGAGTCTTTTAGCCTAGACGCGTTAAATGATCGGTATAACTAACAGGTGCCTGGCCACTGTATTTGTTATCTCGGCACAGAGCAGCACTGGATGCTTATCTGAGCACGTATGTTAATGGAAAGATGCTTAGGTAATTCGATAGAAACAAGTGTTAAAATTTGCGGGCGTTTCAAGGGTAAGTTGCGGGAAAATTTTAGATGTAAAAATCAGCAGAGTCAGAAAGAAACAGGAAACAGGTTAGATAGGGAGGTTGGCAAAGTGGGACTACTTGTGTGCTTAAGCTTGTGGCTCCCGCCGTGGGTTTTACCCACGGTGTAAGAATAGTTTAGGTGAGAGAATGCCCCCGCTCTTCGCTTCGCGACAACGCTCTGCTTCTCAGCTCCCTCAACAAATGGCGCTAGCAACTAATGCCCTTTCGGTGCAGAAAAGCAGGCACAGCTCGGAGCCACTTTAGCTGAGGATCGGTATGTAAGAAGCAGTTTTGGCACCGAACGCGGCTTTTATAAAGCAGATCATTCAATTAAGTATGTTCTTTGACCTTTCTGTCTTATGACATCATATGATTGAATTCATCAAGCATGCAGCATTCAGGTTTATGTAGCCGATCTAAGCAGCGCGTCTTTGGCAATGTTCCAATCGTCTGACCGATATTAATAATTGCGGAGGTGGCCAGAGGTTTCTGCAACACCAAATATCACGTCAAAGAACGTTCGCAATATTTACGCTTGCCCTGTTCACGGTTGTAGGCAGTCAAGAGTACGTGAAGTTACATTCAGATTTGATTTTCCGCCTCTCACGAGGGTTTTATTATGCGATAACATGAGCGTTGGCGATAAGCGCGAAAGAAATTTAATGAGTTAAAGGAATAGACATAAAACGCTAACTACATCTTGGCC